GATCAGAAGCCTGGTCAATCTGCCCTAACCGATGGACTGTCAGCACTCGTCCTGGGAGCAGCTGTAGCGATCCCCACATCTCTGCGGGCCCCTTTCATGGTGAAGAGATGCCACAAAATGGATGACCCTTCTCTTTTCCTGTATCTTATTATCCAACAGGGCTTTTCTTTTTCTAGTTTTACAAAGGTTTAATTGACTTTACAAAAAAAATTAAGTATACACAGCACAGCGCTTGCCCGGCAAGGGTGAAGTTGCGTGTTCAAATCCCAGTACCAAAAAGAAAAAAAAGAATACATAATTGATTTGAAAGTGGCTCAGTAACTTGTTAATGACCCCACAAGCACAAAGCAAAGCGACATATTATTCTCAGCATGGTAACCCTAACGGGAAGTTGTTCTTCCTAAACAGCACGGAAGGAACAGGAAGCTGGATGTGTTCTTTGCTGTAACAAATGATAAATGGGAGTCATTCTTCAGGAAGCTCCAATATCAGATAGTCATTACTTTCATTTAGGAAGACCTCAGATATCAACATAAAAATCACCCTTTCTGAGCTTCCATAGGGATTCGGAGAGAGTCTGATGTGGAAGCAGGCAAGCTCGGAGGTGCCGATACGGTTAAGGCTATGTGGAGACTTAATTGGTTTTGCTGTGTTGCTGTTGTCAATTAAACAAATGAATGTAAAGTTTAAGGTTTCAAAGAAATCTGTTTTACCAAACTCATGTTCATGTAAAGAAAGGAACCTTGGAAAATATGTGTACCATATAATATGAAGAGTAATAGCAGGAAACACTCATGTAACACTCATTATGAGCAAGGTATTATTTTTCCAACATGTTTTCCATGTATTAATTAATTCTGGCAACCACAGCTCTTGGCTGAGAAGAAGCACAGAATTGTTTTTTTTTTTTTTTTTTTTTTTTTTTTTTTTGAGAGAGAGGAAGTGTGAAGAAAAGGTCATGTATCTGGCGTGCATTCAATCTGCACTCGACATTTCAGGACAGTGGTGGCCTCTGGCATGGTGACCAGTAACTGCTTCAGGTTTCTACCTGTTGACCAAGAAGTGGGGTGTGGTTAGCTCTTCGGATGCACACAGCTGCTCTTTCATATCATAAAACACGGCTTGGGTGAAAGTGGAGGTATCGCTGATGCTCACCGCGAGGGACAGCGGGCTGGGACGAAGCATGATTGAGCTCCATGTGTTGCCCCAGGGGGTTGGCCCTGATCTACTTTCAACAGGCGCAGCTCCCGTCAGGAGGCCTGGGTGATTTCGCCAGTTGCCCACCAATTTTCAGCCAGGAAAAGTAACAGCGTTATGTAATGGGGAAAAAATAGCTCAAATATTATTTTTATGTAACTGAATAGGGGGAAAAGGAAAGCCATTATTGACACTCTGCTTTATGCCTGGCATTTCAATGAGTCCCTTAACTATATTAATTTTAATTCTTGAAACGCCTCTGAAAAACAGGTGATATTTTAACGTCAAGGTGAAGAAATTGAAAATCAGGAAAAAATAACTAAGATGTCATTGCACACAGGGTAGAACAAAGAAAATAGGCCTTGTTAGGAAGGGGCCCAAAGTGTACATTTTTTTTCCTCCCGGGGATTAGAACTGCAGCGAATGTCCATTAGGACTTAGAGACACTTGATTCAGTGATGAAACTGATAACTGAGGACACCACTTCTCTCTTCATTAAGAACTTTGAGTGGAACCACACCGTAATTCAGATTTATCAAACACTTGACAAAAGCTATAATTTACTAGCGCTCAAGAAGATGCTAGATTTTTTTTCTTGTTTGTTCACTAACAGCCCTGGGAGGGCACCTAAACAATGAACACCCTGCACTGCAGAGAAAAAGCCATTTTTCTGAAGGAAATGAAGAGTGTGAACGATTAGAAAACCTTCCTGTGCACATGGGTGAGGAGGGTGAAATACCCACCATATTTGGACAATGAGCTTGTAACAATAACTGTGTATCTCTTTATGAAGCTCTGCTTTCACTTCCTTAAGGAATAACAAAGGTGCATGGTAGGTATATGTATTTTTTAATATTTGCCTCAATTTACTTTTCTTAATGGTTTCCTAAAATTTGTTGATACCAGAAATAATTCACAAGATACATCTAATAGTATCCAAAGTCTAACAACACCAGCAATTAAAACTGCTGCATTTATTTTATATATTTATTCAAGATAAACAGCAAACGGAACAGAGATTTGAGAAAACTAATATGTTCATGAGCAAAGACTTATAAAAGGGGCAGCCTATGGCAAAACCAATTCAGATTCAAGGATGGTGAAAATAACTGTCTATTCCTAAACGACAACTGAAAATCATGTAAGGTAAGAATTTTATAGGAAACTGTCCCATGCGTAGAACCAACTGTGCCAATGAACAGCACTGCATGCGACACGGATGAAGAGCACAGAAAGAGCAGACAGCAGACAACTGGGCAGAAAAAGCCAGAGCAGACAGAGCTGTCCCTCACACAGTGTAACACGGAAGGAGAACCCACTCGTGGTGCACACGTTCCAGACCAGTGGGAGTAAGACCACAGCACACTTCCGGGGAAGGTCAAGTGCTTGCTGAAGTCGGAGCTGATGAACTGAAAGCTGAGGAGCAAAGAGGGAAACCCTAAATGAGAAAAAGGTTTAAACCAGGCTTGGCATGAGAGTATGAGAGTAGCCGTCGTGAGGCTGGACCAGCGGATGTGTGTCCCCATTCTGAGAGCAGACTTGGGGCCGTGGACAACAGTTTAAACTTCTGGAAGAATCACAAAGAGGGAGACAGGTAAACAGGGTTCCTGTTCCACTGTTTTCCTTCCTCTGGAGGGATGCAAGCTACACACTAATGAACTAGGAGATGGTAAGGAAACTGTTTTTAAGGGGGCAGTAAGGTCCTCTGGAGTGGCTACGGCAAGTGCTACTCGCTTTCCACTACGGTATGATATTTGACAGAGAAGATAAGATTTGGGTGGATAAAAAGGAAGAGAGGGAGACAAAATCTCTCTCTGTCTCCCTCCCTCTCTCTCTCTCTCTCTCTCTCTCCCCATTTTCTTCTCCCTCCACCATCTTGTTCTTAGGTTCGCTGTCTTCAGAGAAAAGTAGAGTGGACTAGTCTCCAAGGAATGGTTAATGGGACCGATAAGCAATGGCTAAAATAATTGGGCCATTTAGCTCAAGAAGAAAGAAAATGCGACAGTTTTAAATACAATTACAGTCCTCACTCCGGATTCACGAAGTACTTAAGGTAAGCACTGTGTATAAAAAAGATCTCCTACACTCAGACAGAAGAGGAGCGGTTCTGCCACAGGCAGATCAGCAGGGACTGTGATTAGTAAGAACTTACAGAGTTTTTGTCGCTGAATACTACAGAAAATGCTGGAAAAAACTACTACCCTCCCCGCAAAAAATCAGTTGAGAAAACAAAGTCAGCTACACAGGTAGATACACGCAAGAACAGACATTGGTCTTGGAATAGTCTACGTGAGGTGATCTCAGAGAAGACGCGATACAAGAACTGCCCTGTTTGGGAATTAACATCAGAGAGACTGGGCCCTTGTCCTAGGAGGTAAGGGAAAGACACTCTGTGGGTAGAAGACAGATACACAAGTGATATAACAAGTGAGGGAATGGAATCTCTCTCTTCTCCGGGGTCAAGCATAAAGAATAGCGAGGTCAGTAACAGAAACAAGGGCAGAATCTTGGCCAAGCATCCTGAGAAGGTATCACGGAGTGACTGCGGTGGTCCACACGACCACGAAGGACTGACTGTAGAGGGCCACAGGGAAGGGAACGGATGATCAGATGATCGCAGAGGCCTAGAAGCTAAGCATAGCTGATGCTCCGGGGAAGTCTTGGCTGTGGGCGGGGCCTGGGAAGGAGGGTGGAGCCCGCCCAGCCTCATCTCCCACACCCTGCTGAAGGCCTGCTGCTCCTCAGCACTAACCGGCTGGGTCCTCGGGGCCGGAACCAATAGCTCCAGTCCGGGGGAAGGGACAGGCAGAAAGAGATGACCGCTCTAGACCCCAAAACAGTTTTTATTCCAGTGTCCGAAGAAGTAGTTTTACTTCAAGATGGCATTTTCACAAGAACGCAAATGAGCTATTTTATCATGACATGAAGTTTTCCTGGGTCCTGGGCATGAGCTAGCGGATAGTAGCTAATCCATATCTACTAGCTGTTTTGTTAATATACTGTAGAGTATTACTACATTTTAAGAAATATCATTTTGCAAAGAAAACTACCAGAAATGGCCCTAATATTTGGTATCATGAATATCTAGAACTAAATCCAGATTATGATTCATTCATGTTTTAGGGCCCACAGCGTCCACTTAGTGGCAGAAGGGCTGAATGGAAATGTCATTTACATGTTAATCACATTGGAGGGGATGTCAGCACACCCTAAAGAAAGAGGAGAAATTAGGCCTCACCTTGAGGTAAAATGCATTCGCCTGGATTTTCGGGAAGCACGGAACGACTCAAATCTTCCTCTATTGAGTCCACTAAGGAATCTACCTGCTGTTTGTTTTACTAAGGCCATAATGCTCTCAGTTCCCAAATTCAGAAATACATCACTTAGCGTAATTTGCTGGCAGAGTGAAACGGTGCAGATGTTTTGCCAGTGGAAAGGTCAGGTAATTTTGCACAATGCACTGCAATTTTTTAAGCCTTACAATTTTAATATCAGTGACCCAAGGGAAAGCCCATTATGCTATTATATATAAAAATTATGACACAAGCTAATAGAAAGCGAACAGCAAGCTAGCAGCCCGGTGTGCTGTCCTCCTGCGTTTCGCTGAAATATATACCCCTGGTGGGCTTCTTCTAATATTGAAACAATAAATGGTGGAAAATTTATCAATGTGGAAAGCTAGGACCCTTATCTCTCAATGCACCTTCGTGTAACGGGGCAGCTTTAACACACAACTGAGGAATACGGCATGCAACAATGATTTACAGCAAAGCCAAGGAAGTAAGAAAAAAAAGTGGACTAACCTAACCCACCTGAGCTTGGCTCACAGGGGTCGATGTCCTCGTCATCGCTTGGACACTCTGCAGAAGCCACGAGGATGTCATCTGTGGTCTGCAAAAGAATCACAGTCAGTAGATTAATTTAAAGGATCCCAACAGCTCCTCTTTCCTTTGTCTCACTGACAAGCAAAACAGTTTGTTCATCTCTCCCAGGTTGAGAAGACAGATTCAATATTTTCCTTCCCAAAGACACAAAGCTTAAATTCACAGATTTATTTTAGCTCCCTTGTGGCAGGATCTTTGTGAACACTTGAGTACACCTTATTTTACTTGAAGACATAGAAATGCTGATAGTCCACTTGAAGACATCCGCCCGGCCAGCTGCAGAGAGAAGGCGCACATAGTCTCAGGCAGGTTTTAAAAACAACCTGGCAGAAACAGATGACTAGCGATTTATTACAGCCCTGGAGTGCAACAATGTATGCATCGGTGGGCTTTATGTAGTACTTGTGCTCAGCTTCCTAAAAGCAGAACAGCCGTAACCTTTTACATTCACGAGCAAGTAGTGTTTGATAAATCTTTGCAATGTAGCTTGTCATTACCAGTAGACAGAGATTAAGTAAGAATCAGAAGTGTCTTTGATGCAAAAGGCGAAGCAAAAATAATCCACTTAAGCCACTTTTCACCTCTGTTCAGCTTCCACATTCACATCTGCTTCTTTCATGTTCAGAGAGCAGCATCACCTCTCTATTGTCCTTTCCACCATCAAAGTTTCATACAAATGAAAAGGGTACTTGGGCTGCGGAGGAAGAGACATTCCTCTGTGACATTCTAGTTGCTTCATTGCACGACAGCAGAAAATGATAACCACCGCTGCCGTAAGAAGCAGCGTGTAAATTCTAGCACTTACTCACATAAGCAACACGCTGACAAGCACCAAAGGTTATTCTTTACTGCCACTTACAAGGAGCAAGAAACTCAGCACAGTGACTGCACAGAATTCCTGAAGGTTTGCGTCAGACTTGGCTCGTTCTAAAGCAAAACAGAGCCAAGATGCAAGATGAAAAGTATCTCATCACACCGGCTAAGGACTAGGGAGATTTGGATTTCTTAGCTGATACTCAGAACTGCAACAAGGATGCAGTTTTCATTTGAAAATGGAATTAAACTAATATAGGTCCTACTTTAAAGAAAAGGAGATTTGGATTTCTTAGCTGATACTCAGAACTGCAACAAGGATGCAGTTTTCATTTGAAAATGGAATTAAACTAATATAGGTCCTACTTTAAAGAAAAGGAAGAAACAGTGTATGACTCACTTTCTTCCAAGGGGCACCTAATGTTGCCAGAGACTAAAGTATAAATCCATAAGTTTTAAGAAGACTGTGGCCTTTTCAAAATTGGAAGAGAAGGACGATGTGATTTTATGGCAAACATTAGCCTTAGAAATATTTTAAGCACAGGATCTTTAAGAATATGAAACCTGTTCAGATGATAATGCTTCACAATATAGCTGTCAAAAAATACAAGCCTTTAAACGGCAATTTGAGGTGGGTTTGTGTTATTCTGCTCTTAATCCTCCTCAGACTGTTTCTGGGTTCATTCATTATGCCGCTGTTGTTGTAAAAGAGACAGTTCAAAACCTTGGCTTCCCTGGATGTGCAACTGTTAACAGTGAAAGTTATCAGCAAGTGGCATAATTATCAAGTGGGGGTCCCTCCTCAGAGGGGGCTGTAAACAGAAGGCGTTCAGCTTCCTGCCTCACGCCTCTGGAGCAGATCACATCCAACCTGACCAGATAATGACACTTTATTGTATTATGTGGTTTCACTGGGCAATTGCTCCAACACATCCCAGAGCATATTATCAGCTTTTTGTTCGAGGGCCAACTTTAGTGGAAAGCTACTTTTGTTCTCAATCAAGTAGGTGCTCTTAAAAATTAACTAAAATGTAATTAAATTAAAACTAAATTATTCAATTCAACTTCGGAGAGAATTTTTTTCATTTTTTCGTAAAGAAATTTAATATATTGCTGCAATCAATGAATTGTTGTAGTATATTTGATACAGGAAGGATGATGTGAATAAATGCCTGCTCGCAGGATGTTTGTTTGTTTGTTTTGAGACAGGGTCTCACTAGGTAGTTCAAGTTGGTCTTGCACTCACTGTGTAGCCCAGGCTGGCCTAGAACTCACAGTGATCCTCTTGCCTCAGTCTCCCAAGTGCTAGGATTACAGATGTGCTCTACTAGGCCGAGACTCCTGAATATAGGAGACTCCTGAATATAGGAATATATATACCAATTATGATTCTCTCTTTCTCTCTGTCTCTCTGTCTCTGTCTGTCTCTGTGTCTGTCTCTCTCTCTCTCTCATGCTAAGAACTGGGCTCAAGGCCTTGCGCACAGCAGGCAAGTGCTCTACCACTGAGCTACATTCCCAGTCCTGTACTATATTTTAAAATAACATTATCCTAAATTTTAAAATAAAAGTTATATATGTATCATTTTTAATTGAAGAGCTCATGTTAGTATTTGTATCAAAATACAGTAGCTACATTAGTATTTTGTTGAACTAAGTTTTCATTTTTTACCATTTACGTTTAAATTGTGACATCGGCAAACAAATATAAATAAATAAGACTGCTTCTTAAAATAAACTCATGGGCTACGAACATGTTAGCCAGTGGATAGCACTTCGTACAGACTAAATTATTTAGGTAATAAAGGTCAAAAATTTTCTTTTTTTTTTTTTTTTTTTGGTTTTTGGTTTTTCTCTGGTACCGGGAATCGAACTCATGACTTTGCACTTGCCAGGCAGGTGCTGTGTCGCTGAGCTAAATCCTCAACCCCTGAGGTCAAAAATTTTCAAAGCTATTTTCTTTTGAACAGTTATATAACAAACAGATAATGCTGGAATGCTCTTAGTGGTGCTTTCCACAAAACGCAATGCTGCAGTCCCAGGAGACGCCACGCAGTACTTCCTCCTCTGTCGCTCTTGTGGTCGGAAAAAAATCACCATTCAAATATAACTCTTTTATAAAATCGTATTTTAATTTTAAAACCATATTTCATTGGGGTAAAACTGTATTTTAAGTTTTAATTGCAAAACTGCATTTTAATTTGGTATAATAAATATACATTCTTGATTTTTATATTAGTTTTTCTTCAAAAATCTAAAACTAGCACTGGTCTTGGGAGTAGCAGGTCTCGAATCAATAAGGGGAAACATTTATACTATCTGAAGAGACCCTGAGCATAGTCTCGAATCAATAGATGTCTTGGCAGAAATCATCACGGTCTGAAAACTTGGGAAGTGGCTCAAATGGAAGGAAAAAAAAATCAAATTTCACTTTGGAGGCAGAATTAACTGAACAATTTTCTAGCGAGAGCTGTGTAATTTAAATTTAATCCACTCTGTTTGGAGCTGCCACTGTAACACTTACTGTTGAGGGAATGGCAGGAAAAAATTTAAGTACCTCAAATTAATCAATTCTGTTCTTTAGTATATTTTTCCGTGATGTTTATAAACTTTCTCAGAAAAGAGACAACCTGCTGTAAGAGACAGAACAGTGGCTGGGCCAAAGCATTATTATACCTAAAAATCCATTTAAGTAAGTGTCTCTAATTGTGCATTTCAATCTCTCACAGGTCAAAGCAACACACTGGTCTTCCCTAATTTGGAGCGGTATATACAAGCACACCGCAAACATCAGTTACTGCTTAAAATGTTTACCAAAATTAAATTTCTAAACCTTTAGGGAAAAGTGCTTGGCCAGAATTGATGAAATAAAGTCAGGGAAACTTACTCCGTTGAGCTGTGCCTGTGAGCACCAGCATGTAGGGTTTGGGAAACACTGTCAAAATGAGGAAGAAGCTCTTCATGGACAGAAGAAGTTAGGGCAGTTTAATTCATCCTCAGGGATATTACAGAAAGACTATTTGAAGGGTTAGGAATAGAGAAATACTGCTGTATTTTTGTCATTTTTTTCCCCAGAGTACGACTTTATCTCCTCCTACTATCATTAATGTTGGACCTTGTATACACACTTGGTGTCACTTTTTAAAATACAGTTTGATTGCATATCCATACGGTAAAAAGCACGTGGTGTGAGGATGGATAGCTCTAGTGTGTTACAGTACGTCCCCGCTAACAACAGTGTTCCTAACATTTATTCCTGGTGATAAACACTTGTGCTCCAGACTGAGGCAATCCAAGGAAGAAACCCACAGGAAAAGTCGGCCGGAAGGACACACATGCTTGTGAAAGAAAGAGCAAACTTCAATTGTGAAGTCTGACGTCCACTGTGAATTTAAGTCCATAGAAAAATCCTTGATTTGTTCTAAAACATCCACAGAAACTCACATAACGTGATCTAGCCTAATCTTTCATGGTTTCGGCTGACATTCAGACTGATGTGTTGGGAAGGTGCCAGCTAAAATGTGGTGTGTTTGGCTGACCGATGGGCATTTGCTCTTGCCGGTACCTTTCTCTATGTGAAGTAGTAGACACCTTACAAAGATGTCAGTCTAATGACACACTGTTTAATAAAAATAAGAATAAGAGCTGGGCATGGTGGAGCACGCCTGTAATCTGGCACTTGGGAGGCTGAGGCAGGAGGATTGTTGTGAGCTCCAGGCCGGCCTGAACTTCATAGCGAGACTCTGTCTCAAAAAGACAAAAAAAAGGAATAATACATTGAGATCCACTATGCAGAAGGTGAATTTTAGCTCCAGAGCATGAATAACAAAGATAGCAAAGGAGAATTAGTCAACAAATAGAAAACACTTTATACATAATATTTTCTGGTGAGCATAAAACATTCTTACTGCATATTAAAAGTATAAACTGTGGTTTGTCCCTCAAATACATATCATTCCCACTTTGCTCTAAAGCAGGTGTAAAAAAAATCATTAATACAAGTAACAATTCAATTTCAGAAGTTTATTTTCCTGGAACTATAACAATGCTGCCGTGTCTATTACTTTATTTAACATTCACCAAAGCATCTGTCTCCAGAATGCAGGAGGAAGTGCTACTGTTATGAGTGCTGTAATTAAGTGCTTGCTCAAAAAAAAAATACCCACCTGTGTACTCCTTGACCCAGTTTGAATGT